CACATAATACTAAGAATTTGATGTTTGTATATTTTTATAATAATATTAATAGTTCCTTCTTAATTTTATATGAATATATATTTATATAATATTGTTATTAACATATTATAAAATATATTAGTGCTTTGTTCCATATTATTTATACATGTAATAATGATATATAAAATTTTCTTAATCTCAAGTTTCGAAAGATAATTTCTACTGATTTATTAAGCAAGGAACCACAAGTAGAAAAATTGAAGAATTATATAATCATACACAATCCGTAAAGTATAATAATTAATAAAAGTTTACTAAGAAAACTAAACACACTTCACAAAATAAATAATTTTTGAACTTATTTCTTCTAGATCAAATCAAGATTGATGTTATAATTATGTCTATTATTTTGTAAAAAATCTTTTATTATACGCTTTGAGTACTACGAATTATAAGTTTAACAAAAAAATATTGTAAAATAAAATTCAAATTTCATAGTATGCTAGAACAATTATTTTCATAAATCATTTAATATAAAAAATTTGTATACTAGTTCGAGTGCCGCAGTATGAATACAAAATATTATCACGATCTTCATATTAAAAACGTTACTCTTTGTAGATATACAATTAAAATAGCATTAATTATTTCTACGCACAATGCATATTTGTATTGTGTGAAAAATATTTTTGATATAAATACATTCCTACTATGACCTATTTAAAAATACAATGTTTTTATGATACATTTATGGTACAGCGCACCAAATTTCACGTATTTATAATACTATGATTTGTAAACATTATGTAAGTATATAATACATATTCACACATTATAGCACAAAGAGTTTAATTTATCCCATCGGATTGAGTAATACTATAAATTTGTTCACGTAGTTTCTGTTGGGTTGATAAACAGTGCTGTTAGGGCAAACAGTAGGAATACTAATCCTCCAATAATGGTCACTATATACAAACACACATGAAAATATTTTTAATTAGACTCATGTTTAGGAAAAATCTTAGTAATTCAAAAAATAAAAATTATATATTAGCAAATATTAAATTTATAAAATAAAACTATATTGTTCAAAGCTTGTGATTAATATCTAACACTATAACAGTTATTATTATTATGTTAGAAGGATTTAAAAATATAACATTCAATGAAATAATGAACAAAATTTTACCTGTTCGCACCGAAATTTTTTGTGCAATTATACGTCCACCTAATACAGCTAAGCCTGTACAAAATGAATGACCAAGAATTCCACCAAACACAACTCCATAAACATCCTAAAAAAATATAACTCATTATTATTTATTTAATATAAAATAATTTATAGAATTATCACATAATTAAAAAAATGTCCTCACTAGTTTATATTTATATTATAAAATACCTCTCTTGCTGCAAGTATGATCGTCGTTAGCTGTGAACGATCACCCCATTCAGCCAAAAAGGTGAGAGTAAATGCTTGTAAAAATATTCGAGAAAGTAACATCAGTGCTGAACGCTTAACAGTTTTTCTTATAATACCACTTTCTGGATCCTGGACTAACGTAGTTGATTTATCTTTTTCATACTAATAAGGATAATAATAGTTATTCCAAAATAAAAATATATACATTTTTATCATTAATAATCTTTAAGAAACAATATTTCTAAAAAGTAGATTAATACAAAAATAGAAACATTTTAATACCTCATCTTCTCGTTTACGTAAATCTGATTGAACTTCCTCAAGTTCTTCTTGCGCTCCTGTTGGTGACATATAATATCCATCCCTTAACATTTTCAATCCGAATAAAGCAAAAAGTAAGGTTGAAATATAATATGTGTATACACGTGGAATTATAGTTGCTGCGTATCCAAATATTACTGAAAATAATCAAACTATAAGCGTGTTACTGTGAAAGGATATTCATTGGGCATTAAATTTATGGATAAGATTGTAATTAAAGTTTATACGGTATATAAAAAGATAAATAAGAATATTTTTTATAAGAAATGATACCTGAAAGTAAAGTCATAAGAGCAAGAGCGCTAATAGCTCCTATAAAAACGGTCAATCTAGGATGCTTCATTGCCATAATAGCAGCAATGAAAAATGTTTTATCTCCTAATTCGGAAACAACAATGACTGATAGGGAAGCTACAAAGGCATGTAGAAGCCCAAGCGAGGCTTGAGGTTGTGTTGATGTTAAGTCATCCATTTTCTACAATTATTTATTATTATTAACAATATTAGATTAATTAAAGTCATCTTTCATTGAGAGAGCTTATATCTACCATTGAAGTTGCTGTAATTTGTAATTTCTCATCATAACGTTGATTATTTTCCGCTTGCGCAAAATGAAAATTAAAATAAATAACTAAACAAATATATAACAAATACTTCATTGTTTTATAATTAACGATGGTCATGATAATATTCTTAAGCATTATCATCAGGTACTATGCGCACGTACTGCTACCGCCACATCATTAAAGCGCGAATCGCAAGCATACATATTGTTTGTTAATATAGATGTCGCTCTAATCGCAACAGTCAGGATCGCCAATAGATATTTACATTTAATTAAGATAATACGAAACGAACAATAGAAATATCTAGATTCAAATAATTTCATTTAATAATAATCAAATAGTACGATATTTTATTTCAAAAAGCTATTATTATTATTCAACTATGAATTTGACTTATTGATTTGACTTGAGTATTCTAATATTTACTATTATACTTTTGACTAGGAAACAATTTGTGACGATTGGTCTCCGATCAACACTTCCACCTGGCGACAGCCGACGCGAACAACCGTTTCGGCCAAGACCCGAGTTCCGAGCGCTGACGTTGCAGTCACGACTCGTCTCACAGCGCGACTTCTGCTCGGCGCTACCACCGCCAGCGATGTCAAACCTCGTCGTTTTCTCCCGCCAACACACACAGAAACGCACGATCTTATCGACTCTCTTCTTTCACCGACTACATCACGATCTCAAAGATTTCTAGTTATACGATTGTTTTCAATAAACGACTAAAAATATACAGCGGGTATTGAGTGCAAGTTCTTCCACCTTCTAATCGCACCCTTGTGTCCCGCTAAACTTCTATCATATCGGTATATATAAGCTTGTGCATGTTCTAACCCTTTATTAATTTATAATATAGGTTAGTAATCTAGACATATACATGAAAGCAAGAAACAATTACAGGAATAAAAATATAATATTAATTAGAAAGTTAGAAGAAATTTTTTAATTATCTTTACAATGTTTATGTAAGCGGTCTTCGGCTGAATTTTACTTGCTATGGAATGTATAGCATACATTCCATTACATGGAAAGTAAAATATCATTACCTGAGTCTAACCACGAGGGATGTAAATCTTAAAGATGTCCATATCCGAATAATATTTAAACGAAAGAAAATTATCTAACCATCATTTAATTTATACTTTATAATTATATGAAAAAAGAAATAATATTCTATTTATTTATTTTATTTTTTAGCTCCACTAGGCAATTGTTGTTAGTGCTGGCTAACAAATAATAGCCCCAAACGTATCCTTACCATTATACTCAGACCTGTTGGCGTAGCTGGTAATCAAATTGCTCCAATGAGTGATCCAATGCTTACAGCAGCAACAACAGGTGAGAATATACAGAAATCTGTTGACATGCAGCTACCACTTGATAGTTCCAATGAATCAGGACAGCCTGGTGTGTTGGGAGAAAATAAACTTTTTAGTTCACAACTACTAGCTGATCTTCAACTAGCTGATTTTCAACTAGAACAATTAACTGCTACACCTGTAACAGAATCTAAATTGTGGCACCAAACTATAACGCCTGATCTCAGAAATCACCTACTTCGCAAATTAGTGAAAGCATCATTCCAAATTCCGGATTCTACAGAGATGTTTGATAAACAGATGCACAATTTAGTTATCTATGCTAGAAAAGTGGAAGGTGATATATATGAGATGGCCAATTCTAGAGCGGACTATTATCACTTACTGTCGGAGAAAATTTTTACAATACAAAAAGAATTAGAGAAAAAACGATACGAAAGAAAAGAGCACCAACAACAACAATTGCAAGTTGCACAACAGCAGCAATAGCAAGCCCAACAAGCTCAGCAATAACAAATACTTGTTGGTCCTTATGCTCCCAGTCCAATTGGACAGTCAACATCTAATACAAGTCTGGTCTTAGTTCATTTGGTCAGCCACAAATGTTGCAAGCTAATTTAACAACAACAACTACATCAGTAACGACTAGTCAATTTCCAACCTCTAATGGCATTTCCAGTTTACCAAACAGTTCACCTGTACAAAATCAACACCTATTTTCTGATACTATGAAAGTTAGGCTTGTTCAAATTCAAATAGTACAGCAGCAGTAACAACCGCAAAGTGTACCACAGCAATAGCAACCAAGTCAATAACAACTAATAAGTACTTCAAATCATAGTACCGCAACAAGTGCAATGCCATAAACACCGTCACCCTTTAGTAATATTCGACAACAAAATAATCAGCAGCAAAAGCTTATATACCTTAATTACTGTATTAAATAATATTGTAAAAAAAATAAACATTTATTTTTTATATTAGTATTTATTTGTTTATTTATTTATACTCCGTCCCTTTCGGGTTTAGAGGGCTTCCGATACAATTTTCCTTTTTACAAAAATTCAACAAACAACTATTATATATTCTATCTCAATACATTTAAACTTTAAAAACAAAACTGAAACAAACTAATTTTTTTTCTTTTTTTTTGAACTAACTAACAACAACAATTCACTTCTATATACAATTTTCTCTTCTTTCTTCTTCTTCTTTCTTCTCTGCTTCCTTTCTTTTCCTGATAACTCTTCTTAATACGTCTATCCCTTTTGCATCCTGGCTTAAGATATTTTCCATCCTTTCTCCATTCCTCGTTTTTTCACACTCTAACATTATATGTACAATTTTTTATATTAGTATTTAAATTATCTCTAAAAATAATAAAACCTTAAAAACAGAACCCAAACTTCATTTACTCAATACCCGCTATATATTTTTAGTCGTTTATTGAAAACAATATTAACTAGAAATCTTTGAGATCACGGCGTGTCCAGGCATATTAGTCATATGAGGACAAGAATCTCGGAATGAGAGATAGTCGGCTATAAACTTGTATAAACCTTTATTTCAACACCCTAAAACTTGTCTCAAAACCTACTTATCGTAGGGTGTCTGCGACTACAGATATTCCAAGGTCAAAGGTCAAAAAATCGATTTTTTACACATTTATTGCAAATATCTCGTTTCCTATGAGTTTTATGCTAT